CCCCGGCTGGGGAATTCTGGGAGTCGAAGTCCACGCATCTTAAAGCCGCCGAGGTTGAGAAACACCGCTCTAGGGGAATCCCAACGGGAACTAACCGCCGTGTTAATTTTGATTGAATTTATAGCTTGCCTTGTTCTGGATGATGCTGGCCGGCTTTGCAAAATTCAGAACACCAATAAATAGAAAAACGCTCCGGCAATAAAAACAGTATCCATTCAGGGAAGGAAAAAACCCGTTAATCCAAGTCCTGCGGGAAAAGCCAGGTTTTTAAAGGCGGGCAAGGTGGGAACCATGCGGATCGCTGCGGGGCCATTGTTCCAATGGGGAGGCGCCACTGGGAATTGGGGTCCGAGCACACCTTTAGTGGTTGGGGGACAGGTGAATGGCTGCTGTTATTCCTGGCCATGTTATGTTTGCTTGGCGGTCGCGTCTGCAGATGAAGATCCACCGTTGGAGGTTCGAAACAGCCTATGGATTACAGGTAGTCTTCGCTTAACAACCATTCGTTTAGCAACTCTGCAAAGTTACGACGGCACTACAAAAAACTACTTATGACCAGTCCTCGCACTTACGGTTGTTGCAGCGCTCCTGCGATCACCATTTGCGACCTTCCCAGCTGGCTTCCGGCAAGCAAAATCAATGGGGAATCCTGATGCACTTAACCACCATGTGATTCACTTAATGACCGTCACAAAAGCGTCGTTAAAATCGGCTGCGGTCACATGATGTTTTGCTTACCAACCACCCTGCTTAACGATGAATTTTCCAGTGCCTCTTGTGGTCGTTAAGCGAGGACTACCTGTAGTGCAGTCTGCAAAATAGTAAAGCCGTTCAGGTGGCAAGCTAAGTTCAAAAACTTCTTGGCCTAATAATACTGCTTGAGGGGGACATAGAGGTATACTTTTGGGGCAGGGCCAGCCATTGTAAAAACAGACCCCCCAAGTCAGGAGCAGAGATTTTTTTTTAGTGTGGGTTAGAGGGCAGGTCTCTGCCCCACGACAGTTACAGTGGGCAAATTACGACGGTGATGCTTTGCTCTGGCACGACAGACATCTCTTACGTCACTGACACAGCGAGGTGGGCGGCGTATAAACCCGATCAATCAATCAATCAGTGATGATTAAATCTCAGCAGCCCAGGGGCTGTCGGCCAAGGAAGCTGCTTTTTGGGGCGTCCCCCGTTGGCAGCCCCGCTGCTCTGCCTCCCAGCACCTACAGCCCCCCGCCCTCGCCAACCCTTTGCCCACGAAAAGGAGAAGACCGCAACTCCAAGTCCAGCCCAAAATCGGAAAGACGTTTTATTATTTGCTTTTCCACAACAGAGAAGAAGTACAAAGCAACTTTTAAAAAGTGGTCATTTCCATATATTGGGTTTTATTTTTCTTTCTTTTTCTGAACGATGCAGACCGTTGCCCGGAACGAGAGAGGGGCCGTGGTCCTTCCACAACCCAAGACTCTTAGGAGGCGGGTGGAAGGAGATTCCCTCCGATTCTTTCCTCTCTTAAAAAACCCTCTTTTCTTCCTTTTTTCCTTAATAAGGGTAATAATAACTAGGGCGCTAGCTAGATGTTTCCTGGGCTTTTATATAGAAAAAAAGGTGTTAACAATATGTATAAGAGTCTTATTTACACAGTTATTAACATGCCAAAAAAGAAAAGAGTACAATATTGAATATCATACAACATCAATTCAAAACCGAGAGAGAAAGAAATACGGGTATTTTAAAAGGGGG